AATCAATTTCAATCAATTTCAAATCTTTAATAGTTAATATATAAAAAATATATATATAATATATAAGATATAAGATATAAAATTTTATGATATTGAACAAATTAATTAAATTATAGATTGATCTAAATTTAAATGAATTTCTACTATAAATGTTATTTATGTTATTTTATTAATTATATTTTAATTATATTTTAAAAGTCAGGAATTTTTTTAGAATTAGAAATTAATAATTTTAGAATGCTATATTGGACTAAAAAACTAGATTTGCAGTACTAAAATTAACGAAGTAAAGTATTACTAAGTATAATACGAACTCTGACTTAATATTAGTACTGAGGTACAACTAGGTCATCATTCCAAGATTTCTAATATGATTTGTCCTCTTAAACTGTTCACATACATATTTAAAACAAAATTCATTTAAAGAATAAGAAAAAAAATCAATAAATAAACATTAATGTAAAATAATTTTATTGAATAAATCAATTTTATTACTTTAGTTTTGTGTTTTCCAATCTTTTATATTAACATACATTTTATTTTAGATTCTGATTTCTATAATTTGTATAGTTTCTATAATAACTCGTTTTTAATTTTTAATTTAAATAAAAATTATTATTTACTTAAAATGATAGAGAAGAAATATCATTAATACTACTATATATAAAAATATTAATAAAAAATCAATATTCCATTTAATATGATTTTTTTATTGATTGGTTTATATATATAATAAAATACTTTCACGATATATTGATATATTATGATACATTATCTATTAAAAAATATAATATTTTAGTTCATCGATAAAACAGATCTAAATTCAACTCTGAAATTTAATTCTACTTAAATATTATAAGAAATAAATAAAATACAATTATTTTACATCATTTGAATTTCTTTTTCAAATTAAATAAAATATTACAAAACATATAGAATATATAAAATATATAAAAATAGAACAATAAAAGTCTATTTTTATTGTTATTAAAATAAGAAATATTTAATCATTAATATTCAAAAATTGATTTCATATATATGAATTTTTATTTCTTTTGAAATTAGTAGAATTAGATATTTCTTATTTTATTTCAATTTCCAGTAAACATTTCTTATTTTTCATTAAATTTTTAATTTATATATTAAATATCTATTAATTATTATCAATAATAATACATATAATAAAATACACATGATTTGCTTTTTTTTATTTAAATTTACCTTAATTAATGATAATTGATAAAAAGTATTATTATCTATGCGTAGGTCAACATGTAGAAGGTATATGGCATACTGCTATTGTCGCTTACGGAAGAGAATATTTCTTTGGACCATCTGGAATACAAAGTGCTCGACCTGTAAGTATCTCAAAAATTACTTCAAGAAAAATAAAATAATCTGATTAATTTTTTATAAAAAGAATGCTTCTATGAAAAAAAGTCATATATTCAGTAAATATTTATACTTTTAAAATTTTATTTTTAATTATTTGTTTATCATTTAATTATTATATCTTAATTTGCTATTAAATTGATAATAAATAATTTATTCAATTATTAGTTTCTAAATTTCAAATTTAATTATAATAATCAATTATAAGTCTTCTTTTCTTATAAATTGATGATATTTATCTAAAGAATTAAAAATGAGAATATTATGAGGAATCAATCATCGTTTATGCACATATGATATAAAATCAAGACAAATATATTGAATTAGAAAAAAATATTAATAAATAAAGTAATAATTAATATATAAATATTATATAATATTTATATAATAACATATTGTATGTATAATATATGTATAATAATTGTAAATGTGTAATAATAGTATATAACAAAACATATAGAATATATGTTATATACTATTATTATTATTAAAATAAAAAAAAAAGATGCAATATGAAGATACAAAAGATACATAATAATTTATTATATAATATATATTATATTATATTTTAATATTATTATTTTAATATATATTATTATATAATATATATTAATTATATAATGAAAATGTTAAATTGCTCGAAATATATGTTCGCTATCGAATGGTGATCCGTCGGGCCTCATGTTAACGTAACGTAGTGCAAGTCATAGTAGCCATACGATACGCTAGACACGGAGTAGGTACTAAATTTGGTCTGGTTGAGTCTAAAAATAATTCTCAGCTTTACTTCAGTCTCTTTCTCTGCTCTCTTTTTCTCATAGTTCTTTTTATCCTATGGTCCATCATTTAGATTTTAGATTCAATGAAGGCGAAAGCTATCGGTAAGTCTTTTCTTGGGCACCGATTTATTAAATCTTTGTATAATGCTTTTTCCCTCTTTCGGAAGCAAAAAATAATATCACTTCTCAAAACCTTCGAGTTTCGAGAATGTATATTTAGCAACAGATTAAAATATATTTGAAACCAAGTTTAATTTTTCGCAACGAAATCAAATGCCAATTTGTGCTGAATAAAATGTAAGTGTTTGAAGTTTTAAAATATTTCAATTAATGATAATGTTTTTTAAGATTTTATCACTCGAAATTGTTTTACATTATTTATCATCTTGTATTGTTTTCTCGATTGATAAACAAACGAACATCTTCTTGACTGTCATTAACATTGACGTAATCGATATTGCAATGGATAATCAGCAAGTGTTGTTTAATGTACATAAACGCAACATCATTGAAAAAGCAGACCGAAATCGGCATCGACGAAGAGCGTGCGCGTTGCCTGCCATGTGAACTCGAATATCGTTTATCTTGTGTTACGATTGCCGGCTGCGTGGCGTCGAATCTTGAGGCGCCGCGACGCCAGTCTGTATTCAAGTGATTCCTTGATGGGAAACAGAGGAACTAGTCGTGCTCGCTGATTTCGCGTTTTTTCATTTTCTGTTTCTATTTTTCTATTAAATCACGTCATTTTTTTGAGAGCTAAACTAGGTGCAAAACAGTTTTTATATGTTTTTAAAAAAGAAACTTAAGTGTTGTATGTTCACAGTGATTGTTGTTATATTCTTTATAATTTGAACAAGTCATTTTTTTCAAAGGATTGTTTTATTAATTAATTAATTAATTAATTTTATATTCATTTTTCATTAATTGATAATAGTGATAATAGTGATATTTTTTGATATTTTATCATGGAATTTTTAATTAATTGCGTTTTGAATCATCTTCAAAAAAATTAAATTTCTTTAAGAAAAGTCAGTTCTTCTTCTTCATTTTTTTCCTTATATTTCTTTTTTTTTTTTTTCTTTGCTAACACATTCTTTCTTCCGCTTTAGTACAGAATGCAACACCGATATATTTACCGTGGACAGTTATTTTAAGCGTTTCTTATAGGGAAGCGCAAATTTGTCGTGCTTCTAAAATTACGTACACGTTAATACTAGAGGAGGTGGAAGCACTTGTACTGGTACTGTCGCAAAATTGATATTAATACATTTTCAACGGGTTAATTTTTTCTTATGAGCCATTGCATACGTATAATTTGATTTTCTATTTCAGGGTGGTACAGTATTAGGAGAACCGCTCAAAGTGGAAAAAATCGGAGAAACATACTTGCCATATTCTCTCTTTTTTGAATATATCAACGGTTTGGGAACGTCTACGTTTGCGTAAGTTATCATTTTTGAATACATATTTATAACATATAGGCATGCAAATTTATTTTAAGTTAATTAAAAATAAACTTTTGATTATTTTTTTATGAGTTATTTAATATTACATTTTTGTAAAATAGTAGAATAAAATGTAAATGTAAAATAAATATTTAATATATTTATATATTATTATTATAATTTAAATAATATTTAATTTTTTAAATTTGTAAAAGAAAATACATAGTTTTGTTATTTTCTATGAACTTATTTTATTTACATCTTATTTATATCTAATAATTTATCTATTTTTCAATTATAGCCCGGGTACTTACAATCTTTTTAAACATAACTGCAATAGCTTCACAAACGAAGTCAGTAATTTCCTAGTGGGCCAAGATATTCCGAAATATATTCTCGATTTACCGGAAGAAATACTTAAAACGTAAGAATATATGTATTCGTTTTATAATTAAAAATTATTTTTATTAATTAATATAATTAATGTTTATTTATAATAATTAATATGTTTTATTAATTATTATTTTAGTGTTAAAATTAAATAATTTTTTTGTTTCATTTTGTTATTTAAATTTGTATTATGTAGACCAATTGGACAACAGGTTGGAGGTCTTATAGAAGGTTTATCTAATAATTCAAATAAATCATATATAGTTGGTCAAACATTCCTTGAATCAAGAAATCATAGAGAAGTTTCGCCGGAATTTCAGCTCTTAAATGAAGCTATTGAAGAAGCAAGGTAAAATTATTATTTGCCTTTTTTTATTATAAGTTTCCTTTTTTTATTTTCTTTAGTATAATGTAATTATTATGGTAGATTAAATTCAATTGCATTAGAAGAAAGGAGAAACGAAATTAACGAAAAACTCGCGAAGAAAGATAGAAAGAAAAAAAAAAAGAAGAAGGACAAAAGGCAAAAAGGAAGTAAAGATAGTGCAAGCGATAGTAACAGTACCGGTCCTAGTAATTATACACATATGGCAGAAAGCGAAAGTATATTGATTTTTGAAAAATAAAATATATATATTTTATATACAATATATATATATGTATATATATATATATATTTTTATCTTAAATTTAGGTGCAGTAAGTTTGAGCGAAATGCAGGCTTCGAATGGCGAGAGTACAGAAGTATTACCATCGGACAGAATTATGCAAATGGAGGAAGAGGAAAAAAAAGAACAAGAAGAAAGAAAACGTCATCGTGATCCTCCTATTGTATTTAAGAATGTAATAGATATCAAAGAGGAATATCAAGCATTAATCAAAGTGTTAGAAGGAAAATTAAGTGAAGAAGAACGAGTGTGTTTAGATGAGCTTCGACAATATGTTTTAGAGAACGAAGGTTCTTGGGCTCTCGGAGACAATTTTTTAAATTTCGTAGGTAAGTCAATAAATAACGATATTTTTGAACGATTGAAATGAATCTATTTATAACATCTATGTATTTAGGGCGAATTTTGTATGATAAATCTTTGCTAAATGATGCAAGGATAAAATTATTGAATATATTATCTGTTGCTGCGTTAAAAGACGATGTAATCCTTTTATTACATCAGGATAGAAAAGAACATATAATTATGAATTATGCTTTCGATATTGATCGTCATCCCCAGGAAGAACAACTTCCTCTTGCACAATTTGTAAGCAAATCAGATTTATTTGCTCACTAATAAAAATTTATTGATATTTTAATTTTTAACTACATTTTATAGTTGGCAAATATGTTCGAAAACCTTAGTAGTTCGGAATGGTTATTATACATATCGGAATGGCAACATCAAACTCAAAATATAAGTAACATAAGAGTGACGACTAAAGTCGCAGTGCATTCGTTGCTTTCAAATTCGATTGACTTGCAGATTCGTGGTGCCGCTATTATTCACAATCTTGCCTGCAAGGAGGTAAAAACTGTGGTCTGTATCCTTCCTATCCAATTAACAATTTTCCATTTTGTTTGCTTTTGTTTCAACTCACATTAGTTACTGTGTTATGTAATATCTTATTTTAATATGAAAATAAAAAGAAGAAAAATAATCATTGTATACAATTCTTTGATAAAAAATGTATCATTTGCAATGTTGCTTAACAAATGCTTTTACTATTAATTTTAAGCAGTATATCAGCGAAAGTGACGCTTGACTATTTTCGCGAATAGAAGTGCTGCCTTTATTAATAAATTAGCTGTACATGTAAAACTGAAATAAGGTTTTTAACCGTCATCAAATTTGGTAACTGATTCACGAACGAGTAACGAAATTTTCTTATAAACAATTTCTTTTATAAATAGCAATGATTCAAGAAATATATAAATATATTTCTCGTTACTCGTTTGTATTTTCATGTATACGATGTTGTGATGCATTAGAATTAATGGATACCTATCGAGAGATTGGATACTGTTTTTTCAGAAAATGAACAAAAGCAAAAATCTACGGCGACTTTTACCAAAAGGCAGCATTTCTAAGGTACTTGTCTGAACATGTATGTATGTATAATTTAACCGTATATTACGTAAGTCATCTATCAACAATTAAAAATACATTCAATTGCGCACAAATATGTTTCATCAATATAAATAATACGAATAATTTTTAAATAAATACATTTATTATCATCATCATTATCGTCAATTTAAAATACATTTGAAAAGGAAATAATTTTTAAATATTGTTGTCATTGTTTTTGTTTTATTCAAATGGTTTTTTATTTTTTATTTTTTTTTACCAGGTGTTTTACAGGTTATATGATTAAACAATCATAATTTTATTCTAATCGTTTTCTATTTTGTAAAATGTATAGGTATTCGATGATGTCGCTGTAGAATTGACAATGGCATTGTTGCAATACTTCAATGGTAATCCTGCTGAAGAACAGTTATATGCCTGTATGAAGTCATTGGCACGTTTTACACAAATTAGTGGCCAAGATGTACCACAACTTATACAAATGATTGGACCAGAACCAAATAAATTTCGTGGAACGTCTGAGAGAATTGACGAACAAATCGATCAGGTTAACAAGAAATTGCGTTAATAAAACGTAATTCGATACAATTTTATTAATAATAGAAATCGTTAAATTCTAAACGATTAATTGAGAATGATTATTATATTCATATAATTGAATTTTTATATAAAAATTTTATTAAAATTATCTAAATAGTGTATTATTAAAATTTTTATTAGTTATTTTTGTCATTCATTATTATTATTATAATTATATTGTCATTATTAAAAATTTTCATATTTTCATTCATAAAATAAATTTTCTTGTGTAAAGTATTTTATTTATCTGTAAAACTAAGAAAGCTATTTAAATATATGAGTATTTAATTCAATATTAAAATAATGACATTTAATATTATTGTATTTAATTAAATATGTATATAAATATTTTTCAAAACAACATATACATATCAAAATATCATTATAATTTATTTATAATATCATTATTATATTATTATTTATATCATTTAATATATTTATATCATTATAATTTATTAATATCATTATATTTATTTATTTTATTATATTAAAATATAATATATATGATATCTAATGCATTTTGCATGATTTTTTGAATTAAACTTTATTTGTATTGAATATAATAATAATGAATATTTTGAAAATATTTTTCTTCATAGTAAATTTTAGAAATTAGATTTAAATGAAATTGTATTATAATTATTTTCTTATTTATATTTATATCATAAATGACATTATTTATCTTCATATTGTAAGTAATATTAAGAAAAATTCAATAATGACAAATATAACATTTCATATTTATATTCAAGTGTCAAATAAGTTTAAAACAATGAAAGTTATAATACTTGATTTTTTTTTTTTTTTAGTTCATATTTGAATAATAAAATTAAGCTAGAAAAAGGAATATTGTTTAAAAATGATTATTAGATTAATTTCATGAATTCAATAAAAACATTTTATTTCAATAAAAACATAATTAAAATTTTTGTAAAAAGCAGGATTTTATATTGTGAAAGCAAGTGCAAAATACAATTTGATAATAATCATAATAAAATATACTCTTTTGTATTTAATCTTTATTGATCTTAGACCAATATATTAACATATATAGCCAATATATAATATATATTTCCAAATAACATTTTATGCTTCTATTTATTATTATTCAGTAGATAACACTGAATTGAAAAAGTAAATGTAAATAAAAGTATCAAATTTATATTTTTCAAATTTGTCTCCTATAATATGATATAAAAAATATATTTATTACAAAATTGAAAATAATGTTCACTATGAAAGAAAAATATTTTTGAAATGTTTATTTTATATAATCCATTCACTTGAAATAAATTTCCATTATTAAACTTTTTTCCATATATATATTCCATATATATTGTTATAAATAGTTGAAAAATCATGTAAAATGAATAAATAGTTAATAATTAATAGTAATTTAAATAGTTATGATTAAAATTATAAAGTAATTTACATAAGAGCACTATTCAATTGTCTTATCACCAGTAAATATTTTAATAGATAAAATAGTAAAATCATGATGCTATGCAATAGGATGTTAGCATTGAATTATCTTTTCTTTGATTTTTAAAACTTCTTTAATTATTGATCTCTAATAAATATATATAAAACGCATGAATTAATATGTTATATATAATTCATTCCGATTTAAATTAACTCTTTCCATCTAAAGATAAAAATAAAGATAGAACATACACATACTATATACATCTTTCTACAATTTAAGATTGATCATGATCCACCGTTTTTGTCCTTAATTCATGATTTTTATCAATATATGAATAAGAATCGCACATGAAACAAATAGTAATTACACAATAAAGCAAAACGTTATAATTTCGTTGGCGCCAAATATTTATTTTAAGATTTAACGAAAGACACATCAAGTGATAACAATTTGGAAGCGGTGAAAATATGCTGATACAGAAGTAAAACCGTAGAGTATTATTTATATTCGTGGAGTACGAACATAGTGATACGAGGTGCATAATCTAGTACATTGGTTTCTTCAATATAACTGTTTTGTCTTTTTTTTTTTGAATACAATTTTTATGCTGTTGTGAAGTGATAAAGCGAATAAATTTTATATTAAATTAATTCAATCATATTAATTATATATTGTTTTTCGAAATTTCATTTTGCAAAAAGAATGTCTGAAACGACAAAAGAATCTATTTCATTGGAAGAATATATTTCATCTAAAAAAGATAATGATAAATCAAATTTTTCAGTTGTTAAATATATAACAATATTAAATTGGTTACCAAAGTACAATCGGTTGGATGCTGTTTCGGATTTTGTAGCTGGATTTTCGTTAGGATTAACCCTGATTCCTCAAAGTATCGCATATGCTGCACTTGCAGGCTTAACAGCCCAGGTATTATTTATTTTTATCAATCTATTAACAGATTTATTATTAATAGATTTATTATTAACAGATTTATTAACAGATTTTGTTTATTTAATATAATTTTTATGATAATTGGAATTTGATCATATACGGATATTAAAAAATATCTTTAATTTTTAAAATATAACATAATGTCTTTTATAATTACTTTATATTGATTAATTATATTATTTTTATTTTATTTATGTCTATTTTTGTTTTTTAAATATTTTTTTATGTTTTAT